ATATATGCATAGATGTTTTAAACTACAAGTTTTAACAGCATAATTGAAATTCATTAGATGTTGCTGCACTGAATAGGTTCTTCAAACACAACTTGTAAGAAAGAGTGTGCTTTCTTTGGCTGTCAGTTGCTTGCGTGCAAACTTAGTTGACTCAGCCTGTGTGTTAAGCTAATTTTGTTAAGATTTTTATGGCAATACTCACCTCATTGATAGTATTGGGGCTAACTTTCAAAACTTGTATTAAGTGTTGGCAACCCACAGCTCATAGGCAAAGTGTGGACCCCAGAGCTCCTCCAGGTTGTACCACCAAACTCCACTTGCAAAATTGTCTCTTTTCAGCAGCCCATTCTTCATGCCTTTAAAAATAAAAATAAGGGGCAAATAAGCGCCTCCCTTCCTCCAAAGGAAAAGTACAAGCCTTTTCTGCTCCTGTTTTATGTAGTTGCTGCTATATCAATTAGACCACAGTCTGCAAGGAACCTTGTGGTCCTATGTGTGTTTGGGAGTTTTGAGTCAGCTATTATAGGTGTTTTTGGAATATTGCTTTCTGCTTTTTTGTATGCGAAGAGGAAGGGATTAGAAGATAGGAAGCCATGCAAAATGGGTGTGTGCTACTTTTGACCTGGCAGATGTGATAGAGTGATAGAAAGGTAATTGCTTGGGTGGAGGCTCAGTTTCCAGAAAGAGGCATCACAACTGTTGGTTGCCCATTATTTTAGCTGAAAATATAGTGTCTGCATTAAAGTATATCTGCTGTGATCGTGATACATGTTAAGGGTTCAATGAGCAAGGGGCTTCTTTTTGTGAAGATTGGCTTGTTTATCCAGGAAAAAAATCTTATTTTCCTATTTACCAGAATGACTATTAGTATTAGAAATACAGAGATAAATTTGTTTCTGATTTTTTAATGGCTGCTGTCACAATGCAGCATTTAATAGTAATGAAGAGTTCTCTTTAAAATATTAATATATTTTTCCAGTGGGGAAATGTTCTCAAAATGTGAACTGTGTCTTTTGCTTCAAAGAAACTGAAGTGCATAAGTAAAATACAATGTTAGAAATATTGCTGGGGCATCCCTGTTGTCTGCTTCAGGTGGGAACAGCTTGACAAGGAGATGTTTCTGTGGATCTGATAACTCTGCTAAGAGCTGTTCGCTCTTGAAATTAATGAACTTAATTTTATCTATGCATGTGGAAGCCGCACAATGTAATTTCTGAAGGGAAGCTTTTTCTCCTTCCTGCCCATCCCTCAAAGTAATTTTTCAGATAGGATTACCATTAGCCCAGTATGACTTTTTATTGATGTTGATATCATTGCCAAAAATTAAGCAGAAAAATGTGGGGGTAATTACAGTGTAGCCTGTATTGTGTAGATAAATAGTTTTTATTTATTCATTATATTCCTCCAGGAGTTCCAGTTGCCATAAAAAGTTTTCCCCTGCCCATTTTTCCTAATAACATAAAAGGAGCTGTTTTATTCAGTTTCTCATTAAGAGTTGCTAAATCAGCCTAACTTCTGGTTTGTTTTGCAAGCTTAGTTTTAAATATGTATTTTCAAATATGGTTAAGTAATAAATATTGGGGCCGGGGTCATTAGTTAGGCTTGTGGCAGCTGGAACTGGCACTGTAATGGAAATTAGAACAAGGTCTACACAGTGTGGAGATTGCATTGTGCAAGCCGAAAGAGGTTAATTCTCATATGAATTGTATGATACTGGCGGGAAGCGTCCCTATTTCCTGGTTGCTCACTTTAATGATTTACACTGCTGGTAAATCTAACAAAATGTTTAATGTGCTTTGTTACCTTTCCTTTCAAGAACAAACAATTGTTTGGAGCACATGACAACTACTCTGGTCACTTCCTTTGTCTCCCATATTTCCTTTCCATGTTTCCTTGCAGGCCTCTGGTTGTACCTAGCAGGAAGCAGCCTACCCTGCTTAACGCTGATTGGTTCTCCTAATTTTGGGTACAGGTCAGTTCATCGTGACCTGGAAGCACAGATTGCGATAGTGACAGAAAACAAAGCCCTACAGCAGCAATTCCATCAGGTTTGTAGCACACGGACGCTGTTTTTTCGGTGCTGGACCTCCTTCATAGGGCTGAGGGTATTGGAGTGGCAGGAGAGTTTGTTTTAAAACTGCAGCAATTCAGAATGGACAAAAGGCTGTTTTCATGACCTTCCACTAAAGATCCACTACCTTAAATAGTTGAATGCTGGAAGAATTCTAAATAACAAGCTGACCCAGGAATTTGAAGAGAGCATGAGAAAAATGTGAAAGTCCGCTATTCTGGCTGTTAATTAATTCATCTTTCTTTTTCTGGTGTGGTTGTCCCATCTGAGGGTTGATGCAGGGGAATGTAGCAGCTCTTCACTTCCCCAGCAAAATCTCTAGAAGCTGTTTCCAGTAGCTCCCAGTGTTTAGATAACTCATAAGCCTAACTAATTCTGAGATAAAATTCCTGTCTCTTCCTGGCTTTCTTCCCACAAATCAGAGTGGGCTGTAGTCTTGCTTCTACAACAAGTAGCTGTTTCATGTATTGCCCTTGTAAGTTGTTTAATTTAGGCTTCTTTAAGTTTAATAACATGATAATTGTTCTGGGCTCATAGTCTTCCTAGTGCTAATCTCTTGAATATTGCAAATACACTTTAAACTGATATTCCTCTTGAGAATCAGAACTGTGTAAGTATTCTGTATTCAGTCAGTTAAGATTTACATAGTTTCTTTGCAGTTAAACCACATAAATCATGTATATTGAGGGTCTCCATTTTGTCTTATTAGACTGCAACTTGCTTGCAGTCAGCACTGAACCTTACCCTGCCCCCATGTTATTTATCATATCAGACATTTCAAACAAGAAATGTCTTGATCTGGTTTTGTGGCAATCAGAAGCAGTGGAAATAATGTATCTTTTGCTAAACTTTTGATATCTGTAAAATGTAAGAAAAGACAGCCTTGCTACAGTCAGGTCCAGAAATATTAGGACATCGACACAATTCTAACATCTTTGGCTCTATACACCACCACAATGGATTTGGAATGAAACAAACACAATGTGCCTTAACTGCAGACTGTCAGCTTTAATTTGAGGGTATGTACATCCAACTCAGGTGAACGGTGTAGGAATTACAACAGTTTGCATATGTGCCCCCTAATAATGTATCTTTTGCTAAACTTTTGATATCTGTAAAATGTAAGAAAAGACAGCCTTGCTACAGTCAGGTCCAGAAATATTAGGACATCGACACAATTCTAACATCTTTGGCTCTATACACCACCACAATGGATTTGGAATGAAACAAACACAATGTGCCTTAACTGCAGACTGTCAGCTAATAATGTATCTTTTGCTAAACTTTTGATATCTGTAAAATGTAAGAAAAGACAGCCTTGCTACAGTCAGGTCCAGAAATATTAGGACATCGACACAATTCTAACATCTTTGGCTCTATACACCACCACAATGGATTTGGAATGAAACAAACACAATGTGCCTTAACTGCAGACTGTCAGCTAATAATGTATCTTTTGCTAAACTTTTGATATCTGTAAAATGTAAGAAAAGACAGCCTTGCTACAGTCAGGTCCAGAAATATTAGGACATCGACACAATTCTAACATCTTTGGCTCTATACACCACCACAATGGATTTGGAATGAAACAAACACAATGTGCCTTAACTGCAGACTGTCAGCTAATAATGTATCTTTTGCTAAACTTTTGATATCTGTAAAATGTAAGAAAAGACAGCCTTGCTACAGTCAGGTCCAGAAATATTAGGACATCGACACAATTCTAACATCTTTGGCTCTATACACCACCACAATGGATTTGGAATGAAACAAACACAATGTGCCTTAACTGCAGACTGTCAGCTTTAATTTGAGGGTATGTACATCCAACTCAGGTGAATGGGCACATATGCAAACTGTTGTAATTCCTACACCGTTCACCTGAGTTGGATGTACATACCCTCAAATTAAAGCTGACAGTCTGCAGTTAACGCACATTGTGTGTGTTTCATTCCAAATCCATTGTGGTGGTGTATAGAGCCAAAGATGTTAGAATTGTGTCGATGTCCCAATATTTCTGGACCTGACTGTATATTCCTTCCCTATTTCTGTGGCATCTATAGGGGATTTGGGGAGGAGGATACTATTTTACTTTGTGCAACACTTCAGAAAATATAGGAGATGGCAGGAATTGCTCTTTGGGAAGAAGGAAAGGGAAACTGATGAAGTAGTTCATGCCACCATGTACCACAATTTCTGAAATCTTATGTGACAAAAAAAGACTGCCTTTTCCCTAATTTATCTCCAAGTGTTAGAGGATGGACTTACTTTTATCTTACTTTGTTTCATTTTTGTCTGCCTCGTTCTATAGGAGGTTAGAAAAGTGAGACGCCTGTTTCAGAAGCCTGAGACAAATTGGAAGTGTTGCAGGAATTAAACAAATTACAGTCATTGCTTGTCCCATAAAAAGCAGCCTTTTACTTGCTCTGTTATTGTTTGTACAGGTAGCCCTTGTTTAACAATCAGTTGTTCAGCAATTGTTTGAAGTTACGATGGTGCTGAATGAATAGACTTATGACCGGTCCTCGTAATTGCAGCCGTTGCAGCATTCCCGTGGTCCTGTGATTGCAGTTTGGGCACTTGGCAACTGGCTTGCAATTACGATGGTCACAGTGTCCTGCGGTCACATGGTTGCCATTTGCAACCTTTACTGCTGACTTTTGACAAGCAAAGTCAATGGGGAAGCCAGCAGGAAGTTACAAATGACAATCATATAATGTCGCGCCTAATGACCATGCGAGATTCACCTAATGACAGCAACCAGAACTGCCGCAACTGCCATCATAAGTCAGCATGGTCTCATGACGTTGTGCTTTACAGTTGTGTCACTTAGCAACAGAATTGCTGGTCCCAATTACGGTAGTTAAGGACTACCTGTACTTTTTCTAGATAGCTATAGGAGAAGCTGTACTTACCATTTTTATTTCTCATATCCATAACTAATTCAGTTAACTTTTCTGAATTTCTTTTGGAAATTAAAAGTCTATGTTCCAGTCATTCTGGTGGATCCAAACAGAAGTGCTGAAATGAACATTTACTGAAATCTTTTGAAAAAGGTCCTTTCTTTCCTATGTGGTCGTCCTCCAGTCTTTCTTGTAAACTCTGAAAATGATGAGCCTCAGAAGGGAGCATGTCACATGGGGCAGCACACTGTGATGCCCATCTTACTGTTTGTAATGGCATTCCCACTCACAGTGACAGAGCTCGTTAGCCACACTTAAAATCACTTAGGACTTTTCTAACTGCACTCTACTAAGCTGCAATTACTATGTGAAATAGAAAGTAGTATTGTGGAGTGTTCTTCAAATCAGGTGTGTGGGGAGAAAGGTATTAAATCTGACTTGATTAATTTTTTCTAAAAGTGGTCTTGTTAAACCCCATTGGGATCTAGATTGCAGGAAAAAAGGAAGAAAAAAGAGAATGACAATTCCATTTGCATAGGCTAAGTGGCATGGGCTACATGGGCTTAGCTGGAGTGGGAGAGGGTTTTTTTTTAGAATTGAGAATAGAAATATGTAGCTTGGTTGAAGGTAGGCAGAAGTCCCATAATGATATCATAGCTCTGTATGTATAGTTGTCTGTTTTATTAATTCAGATAAAATATTCATGTGTTGTAAACACTATTTTCAAATATCATGTGTATACCTTTGTAATAGAGACATTCACTTTTCCTTCCAGCTGTACTGTTTGTACTTTGAAGAGCTTAACATTTCTGGGAACTGCATTGAAACCTTGATGGCACATTAATTTTTGAATGGAGCCTTGGAGTTTTTTCTAAAGAGAAATGAGCAGCCCAGTCTCTGGAGATTAAAGCTGGGTTTCCTTTTTGGACAATTATAGCTCAGGGCTTGGCTGTGTTACGGGAAAGATAATAACTGTAAGGCCAATCTTGCAATGCTTTCCTCCTTTGTGTGTTTGTATACATATGTGGGTTGGGTTCTGTGTATGTAATTACTTGGGGTTTGGCTCAATTAGCATCTAAGATGCCAAATTCTGGAAAGTTTTGGCAAGCTGATTGAAGTGTCAAACTTGTGATCACCGTTCAGGAGAATATGTGCTAGGAAGAAGCACCATGACTCTGATCAGACTGATTTTGATTCAAAACAGTTAAGCTAGACAGTGATGGTAGACTCTAGCAAGATCTGATGGTTCTTGAGTTACAGTGATGGAATGTGGTTCAGGAGGTTCTCATAAGAGCAAATGTTCAAATTCAAGTTGTAGTTTTCTTACTCTAGGAGCAGGAGCAACTTTATTCCCGTTCTGGTACAGTGTCTGCCTCAACATTTGATCAGCCTAGTCGTTATATCAAGCTGTGGGTGAAGATGTTGACGCCTCTGATTAAGAACTTCTTCTGAAATAAAGAGAGGCAGGTCCTCTTGGTGAGTGTTATATGTGGCTCTTTATATCTTCCTCTTATTGGGAGGCACTTTAACAGGAGATGCATAGATGGTGATTTCATTTTAATGTCCTTCTAAAGCAGTGTTTCTCAACCTTGGCCCCCCCTACAGGGTGGGGCGGACCTTCCCCCCCAATTCTCCCCCCCCCCCCTGGGGGGGGGGGGAGA